TAATCACAGACCACACAGTCATCATATCATATAATCACAGACCACACAGTGATCACGTCATATAATCACAGACCACACCGCCATCATGTCATATAATCACAGACCTCACCGTCATCATGTCATATAATCACAGACCTCACCGTCATTATATAATATAATCACAGACCTCACCGTCATCACGTCATATAATCACAGACCACACAGTCATCACATCATAAATTTACAGACCACACAGTCATCATATCATATAATTACAGACCACACAGTGATAACGTCATATAATCACAGACCACACCGCAATCATGTCATATAATCACAGACCTCACCGTCATCATGTCATATAATCACAGACCACACAGCCATCATGTCATATAATCACAGACTACACAGTCTTCACATCATATAATCACAGACCACACAGTCATCACATCATATAATCACAGACCTCACCGTCATTATATCATATAATCACAGATTTCCCCGTCATCATGTCATATAATCACAGACCACACCGTCATCATGTCATATAATCACAGACCACACCGTCATCATGTCATATAATCACAGACCTCACCGTCATCATGTCATATAATCACAGACCTCACCGTCATCATGTCATATAATCACAGACCACAGAGTGATCACATCATATAATCACAGACCACACAGTCATCATATCATATAATCACAGACCACACAGTCATCATATCATATAATCACATACCTCACCGCCATCATGTCATATAATCACAGACCACACCGTCATCATGTCATATAATCACAGACCACACCGCCATCATGTCATATAATCACAGACCTCACCGTCATCATGTCATATAATCACAGACCACACAGCCATCATGTCATATAATCACAGACCAAACCGTCATCATGTCATATAATCACAGACCACACAACCATCATGTCATATAATCACAGACCTCACCGCCATCATGTCATATAATCACAGACCACACAACCATCATGTCATATAATCACAGACCACACAACCATCATGTCATATAATCACAGACCACACCGTCATCATGTCATATAATCACAGACCACACAACCATCATGTCATATAATCACAGACCTCACCGTCATCATGTCATATAATCACAGACCACACAACCATCATGTCATATAATCACAGACCACACAACCATCATGTCATATAATCACATACCACACAACCATCATGTTATATACTCATGCCAATAATGGTTGTCACCCTCCCCACCCCGACTCCCACCCACACACCTCACACTCCATTACACCGCACACCCTCTCCAATTCAAAAAATTGAAGGGGGTGACAACCATTATTGGCATGAGTATATAGTCAAATTTAATGCTACATGATCATCTCGTACAAACCCGGCGTTCCAGTCTAAGGGTAGAGAGGGAAATCTGGAAAAAGGTGTGCAAGATGGCAGTCTTTGAGAGAATAGATTATACGAATAATAAATTGTGGAATACGTTCAAAATATTTTGATATCGCCTCGCCCACCTGGAGCCACCTCAGAAAGACCATATGTTCCAGACTTTGTGATGTTGGCATAAAGCGAGTGTGTTTACTGACCACAGTGATATCGTACAATCACAAACAGCTTGATCATGTACATGTGAAAACACGGCCATTAACTGATGTGAGTGTGTTGTGATCTGGAACAATATACACAGAAGTGGAGATGTATACCTAACAAGCTGATGTAACGCGCGTTGAACATGCTTCCACGTTGTCATTATGACGCACCAAAACACGTTCCATTATCTAAACAGCATGTAATATTGCAATGCCTTAGTATTATTTAGCAGGATATCAAATGCAACATATGTCTGTAAAATATACTCTCCCAAAAAAGAAACGCACATAGGAATTTCAACTGTATATTTATGTTTATTTTGAAACATCTTGTAGGCTTTATGCGTCAATGAAATATAGCGAAATTGCACACTGGGAATGCAGACTTACTGTCTTTGGCACCAACTCGAGGAAAGTCAGTTTGAGTGTCACATGGAGACGTGTGTCGGCGCTGAAGTCAATACCTCGTGTGACCACCGTGGGCATCCAGAACAGCACGGCATCGCCTCGGCATCGAACGAATAAGTCTCAGAATCTCGTGTTGCCCAATCGGAGCCCACTCTGCCTGTAGTGCCTGTGCGAGTTGCTGAAGTGTCTGGGACTGAGGGTTACGGCGTCGCACCCGTCTGTCCAGGGCATCCCACAGATGTTCGATCGGGTTTAAGTCCGGTGATCTTGAGGGCCAGGGGAGCACATTGATGTTGTGGTTCTGGAGGGAGGCTCTAGTGTGACGTGCTGTGTGGGGCCTGGCATTGTCCTGTTGAAACAACTCCCACTGGCGATCAATGATTGGAAGGAGGTGTGGGCGTAGGATTTCGTCACAGTACCGTTGAGCTGTCAGGTTGCCCTGGATCATCACCAAATCACTTCTCCTACGGCAGGTGATCCCCACCCCCCCCCCCCCCACACACACACACAAACACACACATCATAACACTGTCCCGGCCGAATCTGTCCACCTGGGGAACGCAAGCGTCGGCGAAACGTGCACGTCGACGTCTGTACACCCGCATTCTTCCATCGCGTCGTTCCAATAGAAATCGTGATTCATTACTGAACCAGATTCTACGCCAATTCGGTAGCTTCCAGGCCTGAACGTTGGTGCACCATTGAACTCGATGTCGACGATGTTGTTGTCGAAGCACAGGGCCAAAATAAGGTCTTCTGGCACGTAAACCAGCATCTCTCAACCTGTTCCTGACGGTCTGTGCAGAAAGCCTCCTCAATCCGGGTATTTGTCGAGCGGTACTGGTCGCCGTAGGTGTTCGATGACGCAGGTGATGTACCCGGATGTAGCGATCCTACGCCGCAGGGGTCGCTAGAGGTCGCCCACTACGAGGGGCATCTGCTACCGAATTCTGCCGGCGATATCTCTCCCAGAGCCGTGAAATAGTGCTTTGGTGAACATTCATGCGTAGGGCAACTGCACGTTGAGACTGGCCAGCTTCAAGCAAACCAATGGCGATATGACGGTTGGCTTCACTTAGACGTGGCATTTTGCGTTCGTCAACAATATTCCAAATACAGTGAATAATCGACAGACAGCGATCAACCTTTTATACCAATCATTGAGACTATCTGATCCCCAACTTTCACGTGCATTGCATGTGAATTGTGTATTCTGTGACGCTACACGCCGAAATTGAAAATCATGCTGTTAAATACGGGTATTTTACGTATGGTGCGTTTTGTTGTGATGTTTCAAAACATAACACCATAGGACTCATAAACAGAGCAAAACCTTTTTGTAAAATGAATCACGTTTTAATTCATTGCTTCATGAAATTGCTATTTTCATGATGCGCTTCTTTTTTGGGAGAGTATATTTAAACATGCTGCTAGTGCAGACAAATTATAACACACGTCATTACATATCGTTACTGACAGTCTTCCCTGGAATGGCGAAAAGATACGGTCAGCTGTATTGAGCCAAGAGTTGTACAATCAGTTATAAGCTGATGACAATATCTTTTCCAATTACAATTTGTAGCTGTACATTAATACCTGTGATTAAGACAGTTTTCTAAATGAAAACTTCAACCCTGATCGGTCCAATCGTTGCTAGCAAATGTTTCTCTACCACCACGCGTTTATGTATTCACCCAGTTAATATGGAAATGGTTACTTGGTATGCTGTACAGCTGTGTCAGATACAAAACAATGGCATTAAATAGTAGGATTAAGTAATAACATATTAAACAAATGCATTAATTCCCTTTTATTCTATAATGTTATGATCACATTTCCGTAAAGTCCCTCACTGCAGTCATCAGTATAGAAGGCCTGCTGCACACATGTCTATTTATTGATGGTGCTTGTACTGGTGCACACACGGATGGCCACAGTGGTGATGTCAGTCACTATCTGCTTATTGAGTGCACTGTTGCGTGCCCGCTGTATTTGTGGTTTACACGTACATTCTAGTGCATAGCATAGCATAGCAATGCTCATGTCTGCGTGCAATAAATAATATATAAGAGAGAAATGTAATCATATTAAAGTTTACAAGAACTGTACATTTAGATGTGTTTTCATCTAAGAGAGAAATGTAATCATATTAAAGTTTACAAGAACTGTACATTTAGATGTGTTTTCATCTAAGAGAGAAATGTAATCATATTAAAGTTTACAAGAACTGTACATTTAGATGTGTTTTCATCTAAGAGAGAAATGTAATCATATTAAAGTTTACAAGAACTGTACATTTAGATGTGTTTTCATCTAAGAGAGAAATGTAATCATATTAAAGTTTACAAGATCAGTACATTTAGATGTGTTTTCATCTAAGAGAGAAATGTAATCATATTAAAGTTTACAAGAACTGTACATTTAGATGTGTTTTCATCTAAGAGAGAAATGTAATCATATTAAAGTTTACAAGAACTGTACATTTAGATGTGTTTTCATCTAAGAGAGAAATGTAATCATATTAAAGTTTACAAGAACTGTACATTTAGATGTGTTTTCATTTTATACCTCAACATTTTCTAGTGTTACGTTCATGAAAATCCTATAAGAAGTAAAAAAAAGCGACAAACCCTAACAACAGAGTAGATTATACAATCCCGACTGTGAAGATGTTATATCATGTACTGTATATCTGTTCATGAATCCGTACCAAATAGGGATGATACCATAAGCATGACTTAGGTTATGTGAGGGTCATGGCGACCCCTGACTTGAATTACGTGAGGCCCATGGCGACCCTTGACTTGAGTTACGTGAGGCCCATGGCGACCCCTGACTTGAGTTATATGAGGCCTATGGCGATCCCTGACTTGTTTCGCTATTCTGTTACACTACCGAATGTATAATCCCGACTATCTAAACTAGTGTATCATATGGATAGTGTTGCTGAAAATGCTCTTCATACATGTCCGCGCCAAGCTATGTTTAAGACATGGAAATCTCACCTTTGAGAAATGGCGGTGTGTTGGTCGAGCGGGGCATCGTACTGAAGACTGTGGGAAAGAACCAGCCAGCACAGGAAGCTGCCAAGGAATATCGGCGGAGGCAACCAAATCTTCCCCATCATCTAGATCACACTCAAGGGCACACCTGAAATTGACAGTTTATGTTATATTTAGCAACATAAAAAATGTAATATAATTGAAAAAAGAATTGAAATTACAAATGAATATTGCTCATATGCACCACACATTGCTCAACATTCTAATATGCAATTATTCTTTGTCAGCGCGTGAACAACATATATATATATATATATGTCCATTCCAGAAAACGTCAGGTCGCCCTGACACACGTTAACATTCATCAGTTGTGTACTGATTTGATTAACTTGTGTAATAGGATGAAAGAAACCTGAAAAAAATTATATTTGAATGATGACATATAAGCTTGGTTGTTTCGTGTATGCCGCATACATGTAAACGGTGCGAGGTATGTTTCAACTGGACAAGTATGCCCTTTAGTATGACAGGAAAATTACCAAAAGCCAAGAAATCCATATTCACGTAACTAGTAGGAATATCATCACGGTAGTTGTAACTCACAGACGTTATGTAGAACTGATAACAGTACCGTGACTGTTTTAATCTTGCAGTTACCAGGCATTACTGTTTACAAATTAACCGTTAAGTATATCAAGGGTAAAAGAATTAACCCATTCAGAAAGGTATACAAAACATGTTACTTTCAATAAGTCAGTTTGTAAATTGCTTCGGTCATTTCGTTAAATTATCGTACAGTCAAACACCATATGTCGAACTTTGAGGAGTCGAAAATAAGGCAGTAAGGTAAAAGGTAAAAGCTGGAGCCCTTTGTATTGCTCATTTAGTCAGTCAATATGTTCTCACCGTATTAATAATGCTTTGAAAATAAATAACACGAATTTATCCCAGATCTTTTATATGCATCACTCATAGCATATGGCAAACATTAATACAATGTATGGTTATTGGTTATAAATACTTTAACTGTGAATTATCGAGGTGGAAATAATCATATAAGTGCTGCATCCACCGAAGCATGTGATACTGAATATATCAACATGTTTTCGTTTATATACTTCGGATAACAGGAACACAAGTGCAAAACCATATCACTAGCATCGAAAGAACTTTAATATAATACAATTATGCAAATCTGACGTATGTTAAATTATCACAACTAGAATAGTAGATGATGGAAAGTATTGTTGACATACGTTCTTTTCCTGACAACATAAATAAAGGACTGTAACACGGACCTTAATTACTGCCTTCTGACAACACAACTACAGAACTGTAACACAGACCTTACTGCTTCCAGACAACACAACTACAGAACTGTAGCACAGACCTTACTGCCTCCAGACAACACAAATACAGAACTGTAACACAGACCTTACTGCCTCCTGACAACACAAGTCAGAACTGTAACACAGACCTTACTGCCTCCTGACAACACAACTACAGAACTGTAACACAGACCTTACTGCCTCTAGACAGCACAAATCAGACCTGTAATACAGACCTTACTGCCTCCAGACAACACAAGACCACCTCCGTGGTGTAGTGATTAGAGTGTCCGCCCGGAGAGCGGAAGGTCGCGGGTTCGATCCCCGACCGCGTCATACCAAAAGACGTTAAAATATGGTACTTGTTGGTCCCTGTCTGGCGCTCGGCATTAATGGGTACAACAAGGACTGGTCGCATCGGAGTCAGTATAATGTGTCTGAGTGGGGTATTCATGCTTCACTGCGGTATGGTATCTCAGTGGGCTAGCACTATAAAACCAGCTTAAGTCTGGGCTAGTACAAGCAGCCGCACATACATATACACACGCATGCACGTCGTCATATGAGCGAAATATTCTCAAGCACGACGTTAAACCCAATTTCACCTCACCTCACCTCACCTGACAACACAAATACTGAACTGTAACAGAGACCTAACTGCCTCCCGACAACACAAATACTGAACTGTAACACAGACCTTGCTGCCTCCAGACAACACAACTACAGAACTGTAGCACAGACCTTACTGCCTCCAGACAACACAACTACAGAACTGTAACACAGACCTTACTGCCTCCTGACAACACAACTACAGAACTGTAACACAGACCTTACTGCCTCCTGACAACACAACTACAGAACTGTAACACAGACCTTACTGCCTCCAGACAACACAAATACAGAACTGTAGCACAGACCTTACTGCCTCCTGACAACACAACTACAGAACTGTAACACAGACCTCACCTCACCTGACAACACAAATATAGAACTGTAACACAGACCTCACTGCCTCTAGACAGCACAAATACAGAACTGTAACACAGACCTTACTGCCTCCAGACAACACAACTACAGAACTGTAGCACAGACCTTACTGCCTCCAGACAACACAACTACAGAACTGTAACACAGACCTTACTGCCTCCTGACAACACAACTACAGAACTGAAACACAGACCTTACTGCCTCCTGACAACACAACTACAGAACTGTAACACAGACCTTACTGCCTCCAGACAACACAACTACAGAACTGTAGCACAGACCTTACTGCCTCCTGAGAACACAAATACAGAACTGTAGCACAGACCTTGCTGCCTCCTGATAACACAAATACAGAACTGTAACACAGACCTTGCTGCCTCCTGACAACACAAATACTGAACTGTAACACAGACCTTACTGCCTCCTGACAACACAAATACAGAACTGTAACACAGACCTTACTGCCTCCTGACAACACAAATACAGAACTGTAATACAGACCTTACTGCCTCCTGACAACACAAATACAGAACTGTAACACAGACCTTACTGCCTCCAGACAACATAGAACTGTAACACAGACCTTACTGCTCTCCTGTCACACACTTACAGAACTGTAACACAGACCTTACTGCCTCCTGTGACAACACAACTACAGAACTGTAACACAGACCTTACTGCCTCCTGACAACACAAATACAGAACTGTAACACAGACCTTACTGCCTCCTGACAACACAAATACAGAACTGTAGCACAGACCTTACTGCCTCCTGACAACACAAAATACAGAACTGTAACACAGACCCTACTGCCTCCTGTCAACACAAATACAGAACTGTAACACAGACCTTACTGCCTCAAGACAACACAAATATAGAACTGTAACACAGACCTTACTGCCTCCAGACAACACAAATACAGAACTGTAACACAGACCTTACTGCCTCCTGACAACACAACTACAGAACTGTAACACAGACCTTACTGCCTCCAGACAACACAACTACAGAACTGTAACACAGACCTTACTGCCTCCTGTCAACACAAACACAGAACTGTAACACAGACCTTACTGCCTCCTGTCAACACAAATACAGAACTGTAACACAGACGTTACCGACAAGAACGGTTCAACCTCCTGACAACATCAATATAGAACTGTAACACAGATCTTACCTTCAATAACGGCTAAGCCTCCTGACAACACAAATACAGGCCCTCAACACAGTACAATTAATAGTGTATCCAAGTGTATACAGCAGATATGTATGATAACATCTGTTACTCCGCTATTTCCCGACATACTTCATTATACTCACTTGTCAACTGAACCACGGTTGATTGGCTGATGTTGAATGTAGACGGGCTTACATAATTATGAACATTTGATTAATTATTACAGGCGACTCTAAGGTAGTGCAAAGTACGTAATAACCTCCCCTTGTTTAAGAAATATCCATTTTGCCTGTAAATTACTGACCATCTGGTGTAGAAATATACACTGTCTGTCATCAGTTGTCGTACACCATACATTCTTCAGTGTCGTGAACTATAAAAAGCGAAACAGTTGGGAGACTATATGTCATCACTTATATCAAGCAGTACAGGTAGGACACCATAACTATTCAAGTACAATTTAACAAGTCAGGACTCCACCTTCAACTATCTCTCTTGGTAGGGGTAACTCTACCAGCAACTATCCAGGTAGGACGTATTCCACAACAACTACCTAGGCAGGACTCCACCTGCCACCAACTATCCAGGCAGCACTCCACCTGCCACCAACTATCCAGGCAGTACAATTTAACAAGTTAGGACTCCACCTTCAACTATCTCTCTAGGTAGGAGTAACTCTACCAGCAACTATCCAGGTAGGACTAACTCCACACCAGCTATCCAAGTAGGACTCCACCTGCCAACAACTATCCAGGTAGGACTCCACCTGCCCCAGCTATCCAAGAAGGACTCCACCTGCCACCAACTATCCAGGTAGGACTCCACCTGCCACCAACTATCCAGGTAGGACTCCACCTGCCACCAGCTATCCAAGAAGGACTCCACCTGCCACCAACTATCCAGGTAGGACTCCACCTGCCCCCAGCTATCCAAGAAGGACTCCACCTGCCAACAACTATCCAGGTAGGACTCCACCTGCCACCAGCTATCCAAGTAGGACTCCACCTGCCAACAACTATCCAGGTAGGACTTCACCTGCCACCAACTATCCAGGTAGGACTCCACCTGCCACCAGCTATCCAAGTAGGACTCCACCCGCCACCAACTATCCAGGTAGGACTCCACCTGTCACCAACTATCCAGGTAGGACTTCACCTGCCACCAGCTATCCAGGTAGGACTCCACCTGCCACCAACTATCCAGGTAGGACTCCACCTGCCACCAACTATCCAGGTAGGACTCCACCCGCCACCAACTATCCAGGTAGGACTCCACCTGCCAACAACTATCCAGGTAGGACTCCACCTGCCAACAACTATCCACGTAGGACTCTACCTGCCACCAACCATCCAGGTAGGACTCACCTGCCACCAACTATCCTGGTAGATTAATTCTTTTTAGAAAAATATATCAATGTCCACAGGGGTCAAATGGACTTGAAAGTTATATGAATTTGTAGCATATGGCACTCCCAGGTATATGAAGTGCGGTATGATAGAACGGTTGAGAGAGAAACCTGCTCCATTTCCATCACAGCAGCTGTTAAAACACAACACCGACAACACAAGGTCCCTAACTGGATCAGATGGAAGCCGCGCACTCTGCCCCATAACCCCGACTTATCTCTTATATGGGCAAATTAACCTAACAATGTC